ATTTTTAAAAATTTTCCGGTTACCGAACTTTCCTCGTCGGTAAAAAAAAGTCTCCACGTATTTTAGCAGGGCCTTCACCCTGTATAATTAAAAATTATAAAATATTTATGTATTATTTTTAACTCCTTATGCTTCTCAATTAATTATACACTAGTACGAATACTGTAATTACTTAGTTACATTTGTTTGATAACGTCAGAAATTCTTATATAAATAAGAACATGATGGGTCAAAAAAGACCCGGAGACTGTAGTAGGGTTAAAGGAGAGATCTGCGCCTCTACCAGAAGGATGGTTTCAAACAACGTCCTTCATTTGCAACGAAAGATTGCAGGACGGAAAGAATACAAAATTTTCGAAATGTAAACATCAAACGACAAAAATTATTCGCGTTCAGCTGAAGGTGAATGCTGCTAAAATGATTAGTGAGACTGAAAGCGATAGGTATACAAAGTTAAAATTACATTCGATCCTAAGATAATACGGAATACGCTAAAGAAAGCCGGATATGATGTAAAATACAGTAGTTCATTAGTAAAATACATAAATGAAAACGCACTGCGTTCCTACGTCGAAGTGAAGAAATCTGACGTCGTGCAAAAGTTTAAAAGAAGAATGCTCAGAATGATTAAAAGATCAACGTCATACGTTGGACGTGACAATGTATGGATACTGAAGTTCATTAACTGCACTATGAACTCAAATATCCATTTAAATATACTAAAAGATAGCTTGAATCGTAGCGTAAGAAAAGTAGGCCTCAAACAGACATTCATCTTCCACCGAGGTAACGATACGACGCATTGCACGCGGGAGGTTAAGGAGTAGCTGTTGTACAGAATAAAACAAATCGTACTATTCAAGTGGAATGATATTTCATTAGCGAAAAATATTTTAATACAAATCCAAGGAAATTCTACAGCGACAACACAATTGTCTTACCCCCCCCCCCCAAAAAAAAAACAAAAACAAAATAGCAAAAAGTTGTGGAACGAGATGTTTACGTTTCTTTCCCCCATTAAATTGAAAGGTTTGTTGGAAACATTGGTCTAACATTCGACACGAACTTACGGCATGACTTAATAATTCTCGTACGAAACGAGACTTCTGCATGCTGTTCCGCACTAATGAGAATAAAGAGGAAATAAAGCGAGTACTGATGTATGTATTATGTGACATCTGTGTATTACAGTATGTAGAGCATCTGTTTGGTTATTATTAATATTAATGAAAATGATAAATATAACACGTCGCATGTCTACCGGTTTTTACAAAGTAACACCCTTTTTCGTAAGCAGTTAGTCCCATATAACATGGTTTCACATTATACGACATTCTACAGGGGTTATCTGTTTCACAGGCGTAGATGTAAGAAAGGTGCGAGTGGTAAAAAGGTACGTAGACAGCTGTGGAAATGTTAATAACAAAAAGAAAAGACCGTCATAAATTAATCTTTCTTAGTATCAGAATTTTACTAGTGCATAATCCCATAAGTTCGAAAAATATTTGAATGAAAATCTAAGAATATTCTATAGCGACGACGTAATGGCTTTACCAAGAAGAATAGGAAAAAGTTGCGGAGTGCGAAGGCGTTTACGTTTCTTATATCGAACTTAAAGGTTCGTCGAAAATAATAATCTAAATTATAAAATTCGACATGAACTTATGGGACGTCCTAATGTTTATAATTCAGCTGTTAAACCGTCTCAAGTGTGTCATAAATAACGTAGTTAACGTTATTAAAAATTTCGTCTTATGGATATTATAAGAAGACGAATATTTGATGTAAGAATATTCGTTAAATTTTTTCGATGTATTTCGAATATATTCCACAGTTTTTCAATTTTTGCAATTATTAAACTTTGCATCGTTCCGACGACCTTGGTCACTTAAATAATAACAAAATTATATTCACGTTCTTAACTTCGTAACTCCCTATGCTTTATCTGAACTTCCAGCAGAACGTTTCCCTTGTACAAATAAAAAGGAAAATCAGAAAAGCTGCCTAATTAAAGGATTATCTCACGGAACCTATTTAGTAAATTGAAACGTGTATTTGTATGCAGATTGCTGAGCTTCAGTATGGAAATTGATTAATTCGCGATGCACTTCGATATCATATCGCGATTATGTGTACAACAGTAACGAGTCAAGCTCACACTTAAATTAGTCAATTCGTTTCTATTAAGTTTTCAACAAATCTATCGCATTACTCTCTAATAATATCGAATTTTACTCCAACTACACTTCTGTCTAAAATTGTACCCACGACTCAAACGATCATGTTTCGACAAGTTTTTTTTTTTTTTGTGTCACGTCCATGTCAGCATTTCGGTTTTAAAATGTCAACGTAAATTCTCTGGAAATGTTTACAGAGACGACAATGCAATTACACTTTTTCCAGGCGCGATTTTTCAGTAGTGCGACATTTAAAAATGTAAACTCTCGCTTTATCTAATGTTTGTTCCGACGTAAAGAAGGCGAGGGGCTAATAAACCTACGAAGTGTCACTAGCGTAAAGCATATAAACTTGCGGACAAAACATTTCTAAAGAGAAAGCACGGTGTACGAGGATAAATTATCAACGGAAAATGATCGAATCACCGTTTATATTAGTAGGAATCGAACCAGACGAACAACTCTATTTCAATTACTTTTCTTTCAACCACTTTGCCGCGTTGGAGGATTATGTTTCGGGCACATCGATCCAGCCGTCGATCCGGACACCAATTGATCACTGGTTGAACATGTTTGACAGAACATGAATCAATTTTCCGCAGTAACAATTTCCTCACACTTCGTCACACGATATTAAATCGCGGTTTTCGATCGTCGACTTTCGATCATCTAACACACAAACTGTTTATTTTGCATGCACAATGCGTACGATGTAACACACAACGTTCAAAGTAGCACGTCTCGGCACAAACTAAATGTAAACTGACTGCCGATCCACGCTATAGCGATCCAAGATGCCCGCAAGTGGCTGCTTCGCATGTGATTGGCTGAGGCCGGTGATCTTCCCTGCTAAACAGCCACTCAGACGTAAGGACGCTTCCGTTGTTGTGGAATAACGCGGGGAGTTCGAAATTGTACTCGTGTTCCGACAGTTTCGTAAACCGATTCGAGCAATTCAATTTAATCATGCCGTAATTGTTCATGTAACTGAGCCGTTTTCTTTCAAAGCGACACAGGTCTATTTATTCTTACATTGAGAAATTTAAGGGTTTGCGTTTGAATTAATTAACACATATTGGTAAACGTTAACAATTTCGTCTAATATTCCTGAAATTGTAAACAGGTTAAATTTTATTATGTGATAATAATTATTAATATTGTTAATGAAAAGCAAGGTTTTTTTAGTTACTTCAAATTTCTTATCTAAGGAGCGTGCAATTATGTCCACGCTGATATAATAAACAAATTCTATGTATTAACAGAATTTGTCAATTGGTGATTTAGAACTTTAGATATTCATATCAATTGTATAAGAATACAAGTTGTTATTGGGTACTATATAAATGTAATAAGTCATCCTACAAGTTCGTGTCGAATTTTATAATTTAGATCAATATTTCCAACGAGCATTTAAATTTGATAAAAAAAAAAGAAAAACTTATCACTCTACATTTTCCTAGTTCTTCTGGTAAGACAATTACATACATATCGTTGTTATGGAACTTCTTTGGATTTTTATCAAAATATTTTTCGCTTTCGGCACGAACTTATGAGATGACCCCAATACTTCAAAAACAAGTTGTTTGAATTGCAAGGGATGATATTTCTTTTCTCAACTATATTTTCTGCACTATACAGGGTGTGCTACGTAAAACAGGCTACCTATTTGTCTTCTCTAGCTATGATGGTACGAGAAAATTTTCAGACAGAATTTAACACTAGAACTACCAGCCGAGTCAAAATGACATTACCGACTTTCCAAAAGTGAATTTTTACGTAAGTAAACCATAATTGGAAAATTCGATTCATATCGATAGAAATAGAAGCATACCTGCAGAAAATAAATTCGGACGGTTACAAATGATAATACTTACCAGTATTGAACATTCACGTTTTCTCGAAAGATGGTAACGGGTCATTTTGACCCGGTCGGTAGTTCTAGTGTTAAATGGTTTGAAGAGATGAATAAGATGGAAGAAAAAATTTTTATACGTAATTTCAACGGTTTCAAAGGGCGAATAAGACGGGGGAAATATTGTGTTTAAGAGATGGAAGTCATAATTATATAGAGTATACGTATTTCGCTTCCGATTGGTTTTAATTGTTCCTAAACATTTTCCTTCGACAAAAAGTAAATGTTGAAAAAAACTGACCTTAAGAATAATATTGATTTTATAATTAGTATGTAAGTAAATCGATTGTAGGTATAAAATATTCTGTTAATATACTTCGTTTCTCCGTGACCTACACTACCGGCCAAAAGTGTGGCATCGCCTGCTAACTTACATCAATATCTAATCTGCTAATAATTCTTTATAGATTTGAAATTGATGCTGTGGAGATCAATAGCAATTTACCTCATTTCGATTGATTTAAACGAGAAAAAATTTGTTAAAAAATTCTTAAAATTGCTAACTGTCTTCTGGAAATTTTTGATGCAATTTGCACAGTGTACAGTGATCTCAAACTTTTGCCTGATAGTGTACATGTTATTCATGATTTGTTGAATTTTTTCAGATACGAACACATTTAACAAATATAAAACGCTTGGATTTAATTGATCAGCAAGTTTGCTAACTTACTGTCTTGCTCGATTAATTATGATTAATCATTCGCGCCAATTCGTCAGGTACATTAAGAATAATTCCCCGCTTCAGAGTAAGATGGTTCTGTTCGAAGCTACTGTGTATATTCACGGCGTCAGTTGAATAAAACTGATACATAAATTACGAAATGCACACGACTCAAAATGAACGGTAACAGGTAGTTCGTGTAAAGCGTCAAACACGCTTTACCAATACAATCAATTTAATATGTACTCACATTTGTCGATAGCTGACTAGTCAACGAATGGACCTTCTCTTGAGCGTCGACAAGTTCTCGTCGCAATTTCCTCAGCTCGTGCGCCTGTTTCTCCTCGGCTGAACTGTACAGACTGCTCGCTGTCGATACCAAAGACACAGAGGAACCGTGGACTGAGGGCAAAAGAAGAGAAAATTCGTTCCCCGTTAATTTTCACTAAAAGGAAAAGACCGAACACTGGAGTTGCAAAAAAAAATTATGCACACTGCTCGCCAAAAAAGTTGAAACACCTTAAAAATAAAATCGCACAAATCTGAAATTTACGTAATAGAAATCATAAATAAATAGAAATTTACGTTCCCGAGTAACCCGAAAAAAATATGCGATTTCCAGATTTATGCAACTGCAATTTTTTTTTTGGCGAGCAGCGTATAATTTGATTCTCGTATTATTTTGTCGACAGATTATACACGTAAGTATGCGGGACTCCATTTTGAAAAAAAAAAAAAAAATAAGTTGATATCTCTTTAAACGGGAACTTACTATCGTCATCTTTATGCACGTGCTGATAAAGATTAGGCGGTTGCCGAGAAGTATGCGTGGGCGTCGGAGACGTCGGTTGAGACCAGTGTTGTCCCGTACACCCGGTAGATCCTACAGGAACACTGTAATATGGCTCAACGCCTACGCTCATTCCTATTCCGACCCCAACTTCTTCACCGACGGAGGATGAAGCTCCACTTCCTCTAGCTAACATCGACGGATACATTTTTTCGCTTTTCGTGGATCTGCGAAAACAGACGTTTAACCATCTAAGTCACTGGTCAAAGGTGCTGCAGTATATATTACATCGTAGATGCTTCCGAAGATTGGCAAAAAGTTCCACAATTTCATCCAAAATTTATTCCATCGATCATCAACGTCATTGTTATTCGTGATAAAGCAACGCGTTAGATATCACGACGAACGTATAACGAACTGTTTGCACCTTCGGAGAATAAAAAGCGCGCAACGTGCATCGATAGATGGTCTAATGTGAATGTTCAACCCTAGAGCGGTCTTCGGGTCTCTTTTGACCCATCGCCTTTCTTATCTTTTTAATTACTTTTGCTGTTATCAAATTTACGTTCCCTTAACATTACATCGAAAGTTCATCACCTAAGTTCATATGGCGTGCTGGTAACAAAAATTGTTGCACCTAAGACCTCTGGGTCAAAAAGGACCCAAAAACCTCAAGTGTACAGTCGAACGAAAGAACGCACTAGGGTTAAGAAAGGGGAGAGGCGACTAAATAATCAGGCAGAAACCTTGTTGATCTTTCGTGCGCGTTATCCGCCTAAGGACTTTTCTGTCAAACGGCAGAAAACATTTACCGTATGCTCGATTTTTAATTCAGGAACAAGAGAAATCAGAAATTGCCAAGGTAAAAAGATATTACAGAGTACAGTTTACCCGGGCACGCATGTGTCCGAAATGAATATCTTCAGACACGAGGAAATTGGTGTTTAATTAAGTTCTTTGAATGGAACATTTTCAGGGCAGACCGATCAACACAGACAAGAATTCCTTCTCCGCACTTGGGTATTCAGTTTACTTAGGACGCCGATGAAAAATACATCTGTCTACCTAGCGAGTGTATACGTAATTAGCCGATCTGGAAGGGGCTCCTAATTAAAAGATAAATTCCCTTTCGACGGATGTCAAGTGCCGCTTCTCGATCGTGTATACACTCGTACGGTTCTGTGTTAGCATAGCAAAAGGAAATGACAGAAGTTGAATGATGAAAAAGTACACTTTCCACGGTAAAATATTCTCATGGGAATCAAGTTACGAGAGATTTTCTGTATTTATCGAAACTATCATATTTTCATCCAAGAAAAAAAAAAGAGAGAGAGAGAGAATTTGAAAATGTATACACAAATGTGAAACGTTTCTTTTTCATCGTAGGTAAAGCTTTATCATGCGTTTGCACAAGAAGCACTGTAACATTTACAAGTATGAAATACGAAGAAGAAAGTTGAAATAGTGCTTAACCAATAATAACTAAATTACTATTAAGTATGACGAAACAGGTGCAAAAATTCGACAGAATGATAAATGTACATGAATGTATGTATTTCTGGTGCTTGAATTGGTCATTCGTATGTGCGTGTAAGGAGTACAACCCTACTAGAAAGTTTTGTTCTTTCAATACTTATGCATGAAAAACAGGCTCGATGAATGTGTATTCTAGATTTTCGCACTACCTTGGGAATGTCCTGTCCCGCAGATGGCTAGAACGGTATCAAATGATCTGCGTTATTTCACGAGTTAAATGTTAAACGGGCAATTGCAGTCATAGAGTGGTATTAATTATAAAGAATCAGAAAAAAAAGCTGAAACTAATCGTTTTATAAAATGTGGTGAAAAAATTTGCATCCTCTAATCATGCATCTATACATATGGACGTATGCAAATGACTTCTAGAAATTTGATATATTAGGTTGTGAAAACTAATGCAAAAAATAGACTGTCTTTTAAACTTACCTAATGGAATTGCTTCTATTCAGTCTTGGCGGGGCTGGAGATCCCGTAGAGTCCCTTTGATGTATCAACAAACGAGCGTGAGTCAGGCTTGCCCGATGTGACCCTAACGATTCTACACTATCAGCCTCGCACAGCCCCATTCCTGTAATTAGAAAGTTTAAATAAGTTTTTAATACTTTTGTATAGAGTGATCCATGTACATGGGAACACTTAAATAACTCCATTTTGTAAAAGCACATGAAAGAATTGCTCAGAACAAACTTAAACTGTTTAAAAAGGCAAATAAAGTAATACAAAATAGAGTTTTCTGTTAGGTTTTTTTTTAAAGTAATCATTGATAAAATGCAAACTCAACCATAAATAATTCTATCATTCTGATTACTTAATTTCAAGATATATTAATCTGAGGATAAATAACTGTTCCTGAAGTTTCCAAAGGTATTATGTATTTTATTAAAAATAAATTTATTTATTTGTTCTTAAATTATAAGTTTTAAAAATGATCGTCATTAAAAGTAGTCTCTTAAAAGTAGCAAGACGAAAGATAGAAAATTTTAACAAGTAAAAGTTTCAGAAAAAAACAGAGGAAACGATATTCTTCAAAGACGTAGTGACAATATCGTCTGTATATCACTGTATAATTACTGACACTTTGTATGGAAGCACTAAAGAAAGAATGTGCAATCAGTCCAACAACAAATGTATAGGCAGTTTTGATTTCCTGTTACAACAGAAAAGGAACGCAATAGAAAAAATACCGTGACGAGTGATAAACACTTTTAATTTTAGTTGCAGTAAATATGATATGATATTTACGTTTGAATACCTATATCTGAATACACCTTCTGGAGATGTTATTTATTTTCAGATTAAAATATTTCGAAACTAGGTAATCAGAATGATACGTTCTTATATGCTGTTTAATTTGATTGTTCACCTTCTGTAGAAATATAGGAATGATTTCATGATTCTATTTAAAAAATATTATTTTCGAATAAAAATAATCTTGTGCAAAATTTTATTTATAGCATCTTATTTGTGCACAGTTTAACTGTGTATTAGACAATTTTTTCACATATTTGGATGCAGTGCAGGAGATATTTAAATGTTCTCGTTTATCATAATTTCGAAACAAATAACTGAAATGTATAAAATTTGTGCTTATATGTACTTGTACAAAACGATATAAATATATTGCTACAATTATCTTTTAAATTGTAGAAGATTGAGTAATAAATCTTTTAAATTGTAGAAAATTGAGTAATAAAATAAATTGAATTAATAAGTGAGAGTTCCCAAATGTGAATCATCGATTCTGATCAAACTCAGTTATTCTGCAGTTTTCGAAAATATATTTGACATGCATTTTTTTTTACATAATTTAAAATCTACGTCGAAGGAGTGAATATAGCTCCAACAATTATGTTTGGAGAATCTATTTGGTCCAACATCTCGGAGCCTAGTATGCTTACCCAGATCACAATTCCAACTATTCAAAGATTATCTAATAATACATATTATAACGTTATTGCTTAAAATAACGTAAAGGTTTATAACCTTCACGACCATAAATACTCAACTATTGCAATACAGAATATAAGTAAATCCGGAATACAGTAATCCTTTATTAAAATACAAAAAATTCCAATTTATCTGTAAGTTGTTCTTTCACCAGAAGTCAAATGAAAATGTATCAACACTTTAAAAAACTAACTAAAAATGTCAGATGGATATTTCAATAAGTTTCTCACGTATGTGAATTTGTCCTTAAAAAATATACAACATGTACACTCCAAGTCTTTTTGCAGACTCAATAATTTCTGTGATATTGTGCCGAATAGGTTTCTCAATCTCAACATTAAGAGTTAATTTCACCCCTTTAACATGGATTCAGGGATGTGAAAGAAAATACGTGTAAACTATTCTTCAAGAATTACACCATACGTAAATCTCATTAAAATCAATGGTTTACACACTTCGGGACTCCTTGTGAGCAGACTAATCATAAATCAACTGAAACTATTATACATCGAAGGCTTAAAAACTTGCCTTGAGAACGTCCACTTGGCGTGTATGTATTGCTATGTCTCATCCAAGACGTGGTGTACGGACTATTGGTACTATAATATCCTTGAAGGTCAGGTGGTGCATAATTGCTGCACGTGTCGCTAAGACTTCCATCGGATGGCTTAAGCACTCTCGGGGAGAAAGAAGTGGTTGTTGGTCCTGCGCCGGATCCTCTTTCGCGATGATGTGCAGACGCGAACAGCGCCGTGAATTCTGGGCTACCAGGCTTCGGTAAACTTTGCGATCCGAGCATAAGGCGATCTCGTACCGATTGTGAAAGTTGACTGGCACTCGGACCCGTGAGGCTGTAGCTCTTATAGTGATGTCCTTGATTCAATGCGGAGGAGTTTGCTTGAAGCTCGGTGGTGCATGTTTGCGTACCACCAGACACTTTAACCTGCGACAGTGAAGTAAAGCAAATAACACCCATTTACAAAGTTCCATTTAATATCACAGAAAATCAACAAAGTCTGCACTTACTTTCGTTCTCGGGACTGCGCTGACTTGAGCTGTTCTCGTAGAATCCTTGCCACCGTTTTGAACTCCGTTAGGGCTGGGGCTGGTACCGGCGCTGTGTCGTTTAACGTATCCGAAACTCTGGGGCACACCTCTGACTTTGTTGCTGCCGCTGGTCGACGTTCCTGATGAGACTTTCTGTGGTTTCTCGCCGTTCGCATATTCAGCCATGGCCTGTTTCCGATGCTTATCCTATGCGACACAAGGAGAAAGGACGAGATGAAAGTTAATTCGATACAGGCAAAATGTAAATCACAAGGATGCTCGTGTGAAACTAAAATTCTAAAGCTGCGTTAAAATAGATACACGGACTATCTCGAAAATCAATATTGTCCAGCGTAACAACGACTTTCGAAGGGACAAAACTATATAAATGTTTACCTGGGATCGCCTGGAGGGACTAGGACTCGGGGGTGCGCCCTCCTTGTCTCTCTCCCGATCCCTTGCAGCCCCAGCCTCGATGTACTTTCTCCATTGCTGACTGTTTGAACTGCTGCTCGTCGAGCTGTTTGTCGAGCTGTTCGAACCTGGCTGTTGTTGCTGGTGTTTGAACGCCGAGTTCTCCGTTTGCTGGGAACTGTCCGATTTCTTTACATGCGAGTGATGACCGCCGCCAGGATGTCTGGAGCTCACTACGCGGTATACCAGGTTGCTGCCCTGTTGTGCACCTTGGGGGGTGGCCGAACTACTGCCACCCCCCACAATCACGCCTCCACCACCCGGCACCCTCTATTCGTGAAAAAAAAATTGTTTATAATTTTTAAAATTGTATTAACATTTCAACATTTTTTTGATTTGTAAAATGAAACATACATTTTTAGAATCTAGAAGTAGAAAAGTTCCATAGATATTGTACTATCGATTAGTTTTCTCTGTAGTAGCATTCGAAGGCTCAGACCTTCGTTCAGATAACACTTTTATAAGGGAATTAACACAATAAGGACCAGCCGGGTCAAATTTACCTAACTTTCCGAAAGTGAATTTTTATGTAACTAAAAGGTGATTAAAAAATTTGATTCGTATCGAAATGAAATAGAAATGAAATGCAGAAAATATGTTCACTTTTTTGGAAAGCTGCTGATGGGTCATACCTTATTTTGTCAATTAATTCATTAAATTCTCGGATATTAGATAATGTGCGATATTAGGTAATATTGCAATCGATTGATTTGATCAGCCATCTAATTATAAATGATAGAATGATAATAATTCCTTTGTTTTTCTTAGAAGATATTCTGTAAGGTCAATAACGCCTTGCATTCTATGTAACTTTGTAACAAATATTCCGTTGTCTCGAAGCAGTTACTCCAGCACGTCTGTTTTTCTGTTTCGACGAAGAGGAGACATGGAATTAAATGAGATTTGTAAGAAATTCGAATGCGACTCTTCCGTACCTTTAGCGTTAATCTATCTACAGGATATCCACTGCTATGCACTGGTCTCCTTGCAGGAGGCCATTACGGAGGTAAAATGAAGATACAAATGTTGTACAAACATGGTGTCAAGAACCGATACTTAATAAGATATAAACTTGTCAAAGTGTAACGAAACCTGAACTGATAGATTTATCGAATGTGTAGATCAACCCTGTCTATCAGTGCTTTTGTTTAAATGAAAGAATTTTCTCTGGTGAGCATGTACAAGTTAAATCTTTAGTCTTCGGTTGTTAGTACTGGAAATCGAATGTTGCAATGGCTTTTGCATTTAGTAAATACACCGATATGCATGTAGTATTTGGGAAATAGACAGAAAACTATCGTAATCGTGTGATACCAAATTATAAAACTTTTGATGTTTATTGACTGACAATTAGGCGAAACTGAACAATGGACACGAAATAGTGTAGATACAGTTGCACCGCATTGTAAACATATTGCTGAAGTTGAAATCTTCATTATCTCATTGAGTATCGGTTTTTGACACCATGTTTATACATCATTTTTGTCTTCATTTTACATCCCTAATCACCTTCTTTAAGGAGAGCAGAGAAAAATGGGTATGAGCACATACACTGTAAGTATTAGGGCACCGAATGTGAAGTGAACTTGAGTTGTTACAAAATTATTAAGATAAACAAAAATTATTCAGCCTGCAGTCTCGTAATAATAACAAATAAATAGTAATAAAGTGAACTAATATGGAACACTGTGCAGGAAGATCTCGATTTTTACTTGTCTCGTGTTTTTCTTTCTTTTTTTCAAAATGAGCAGTCTAATGTTTGTATTTTCCTTTAACAATCTTTTACGTTCCTGTGAAAGTATCGTAAAATCGCTCCGGAATCTCACTTTTTATACATTTTTACGTCGATATACACTACTGAATCTGCTACTAATTTTTCACAGACTTGACATCGATATTGTGGAGGTAAATAGCAATTTATCTCATATCGATTGATTTGAACGATACGAAATTCGTTAAAAAATTCCTAAAGCTGCTGACTTTTTTCTGGGAATTTTTGTGCAAATCCAAACTTTGGCCGGTAGTGTACGTTTCCAGAAGAAAAATGTTGAATACTGAAGCTTGAAACAACCGTGAACATTTTGGTTGCCTACACAATGGTTAAAACCGCGGGAACTTTCAGAATGATCTAAGTATAAACACTTTATAGAATACTTCTGTTTCTATAAAAGCGATTCACTTTTACGTATGTGCGGTACGTCGAGAATAAAATACGATTGAATATGAAACCAGGATGAACCGTTACATCTAACGAGTAAATACTTCAGCATGTCACACGTAGCGTTGTATCATTTTACCGACAAGGTCCCCTAATTATGCGCATTAATTTACAGTCTAAGAAGGGAATCACACAATGACAGAAGTTTTTCTTGTAAAATTTTTGCTGATACCGATTAAGCTCGGAATGGGATATCGGTGCTGCTGCAATCACACGCGCGACCTGGGTCAAGGACTTCCGGTGAGGTTGATTTCACCATTATCGATTCTCGAGCGCCAAGTTTGCAAGAGTCAGAACCCTCATGCTACGTTTCAGAATAGGTCGCTATAGGCTGCGGCTGTGCTCGAAGGGGTACAAAACCTCTGTTCGCTTCTAGTCAGTCGGTTTACCATTTAAACTGCAAAAATACTACGAATCTAGTACGCTCACTTTTAACGTTAACCAAAATATTCGTTTCCTTAGTTTGAGCACATTTTTCGTTCGTAAATGAAACGTACACATATCCCTCGAATTACACGGTAGATACGTTCCACACAAAAATCGTGCAAAACGAGACAGAGCTCGCATATAGAAAAGAAGGATCGGAACTAAATTTTAAGCCGTGTAAATCGAATCAAAGAATACAAAGAAAATTCGTGGATACGTTCGTAATAACCGTGTAAAATGAGACAAGGATCGTACGGAAAAATGGATCGATGCTCTAGTACATCCAAAACGTATTCAAAGACGTAAAGTTTGTATGTTTTCAACTCATTTATTTATTTACAAGAAGGAAAAGCACATAAACGTAAACAACTTTTCTTTAACAAAAACAAGAATAATGTAAAAATAAAGAGGTGAAAAAATAAAAACAGTCTTCAATCTTCGTCAGAACACTCAAAACCTGGGACTCGTATTTTCTTTGCTTGTGGAACAGTATCACTATCCGAGTCGCTAACATTAATTTCTCACGGTTAAATCCGTCGTTGAGTTACAAAAAAATACATAAAAAAATGCATAATCGAAATAAAACACAAAATGTTTTTTTTTTGAAATTTGAAAACCGTGTTAACGCGAAACCGTGTAATTCGAGGGACGGGTGCAAATTGAACACCGAATAGGCTAGTAACTATGGAAGTTTGTTAATTTTCTGAACGTTCTCTATAAACAATATTCTGGTTGTAACACGTATTATGCTAAATAAAGTAAAATGTATTATGTAAAATTCTTTTTTACTGTAAAAAAAAGAAAATTTTCCAAATGCAAGATTACTAAGATCATTTTTCATTCATTATTACTCACAATGAGTAAGCATAAAAGCTGAAGTAATATTGGCGAAAGCTACTTATGCCTATTAATTAAGAAGAAATCTGGTTTAAAGTTGCTAGAGACTTTTGCGTGCCACGTCACTGAATATACTCTTCACATATGAGCCGTTCAGTGCGCAAATCGATTAACTCCATAAAATGAGAAGTCGAGAAATTATTATAAATATAAAAAGTTATGACTATACCAAGTGCTTTGACACTTAAATTTCAGATTTTTCAAAAAGTGGAGTTAATCGATTTGTGCACTGAACGGCTCATATGGGTATTTGTCTTCTTCTCAACGTCAATTTATGCACAATTTTATGTTTCCAAGACTTTTAATCACGCTTAAGAATACATCGTTGCTGCGTAATCGTTCGATTATGCTCGTATGCCTGATGATCACTCTCTAGACTGATTAATTTCGGCGCGAAAGGTAATCAGGAGCCGCGAAAACGGGTGTCCTGATCATCCATTCCGGTTCTGGCACAATTAGGGAGGAACTGTTTGAAACAAGACTGACGTAAACGAAGGCATCGGATAACCCTTGATTTTCAAAGGCTGGCATTATTTTCGGAATTCGGGCAAGAACTCGTCTGAGAATTTAATCGCCACATCGGCGCAAAAGGTGTTCTTTGTGAACGTCATCGTGGCACGTTCCGTTTTACATCGATAAACTGACGTGTAACGCCTCTTCGAATACCTGCTGATGAGATATTGCCCTTCTCGGTAGCTATTCGGATACATTTTGTCTCACTTCGAGCAGTATCTCATATTGTGCTCTTGAAGAACAGAAATGCTTCACTTTTTGAATTCTGTCGAAATTTATCATTTATTGTTTAGTATTCTTCCGAATTCTACTGAAATTTATTATTTAGCATTCTTCTGAACTCTATTGAAATTTATTATTTAGTATTTCTCTGAAATTCTATTGAAATTAATTCTTTATTATCTTCTGGAATTCTACTGAAATTTATTATTTATTCTTCTTCTGAAATTCTATGGAAATTTATTACTCATTATCTTCTGGAATTCTACTGAAATTTATTATTCACTATCCTTCTGAATACTATTGAAATTATTTGGAATTCTATTGATTTTTATTTAGAAATTGATAATCATCACTGATAAAGTTCATATTCAATTGTGAAGATATTGAAGATTTAAGAAACCCAATACGCACTCAAGTGTTTGCATAATTATCTACACAATTAACTGCCCAAGTGAATCAGACCCTAATATTACAAAAATTATCGAAACGACAATTGAGCCGTTCAGTGCACAAATCGATTAACTCCATAAAATGAGAAGTCGAGAAATTATTATAAATATAAAAAGTTACGACTATACCAAGTGCTTTGACACTTAAATTTCAGATTTTTCAAAAAGTGGAGTTAATCGATTTGTGCACTGAACGGCTCATATATGACTCACTAAATGGTAATATCCGAACCCCTTTCTGATTAAGGACCAAATAAGATATGCGCCAAAGTGCTTAAAACGTTCAGGAAATATCGCATTTCCTCTTTTCATTTACTACGTAAGTTGATCTTCCAAATGGCAAGTGACTAGAAAAAACGCTTCTTTCTATTTTACTGCACGTATCGCAAACATACTCTGAAAAGGCTGTAAGTCAGACGAAAGGTTCTCGTGGATAAACTGACCAGATTTTCTGGAGGCAACATTTTGTCGGATAACCTGTTAGATTTATCAGTCAGTTAGATATAACAAAAATTAATCTAACGCCTTACTAGGAAGTATATATA